TACACCTTAGAGATATGCTGCACACTTCACTTTGTTTAGATGGGGAGGGGGCAATTCAAGGGAAGAAACAAATATGAACAGATTCTCAGCAGCCAAATACAGGTATTGGCCGTATTAGTGGTTTCCTCTGCTGAAGTGTGCTCAGCAGCCTAAGAAATTAAGTATTTGAGTCCTCTTGTAGATGTAGACCAAATTCAAAGTTACCTCTCAGCCAGTATCCCCAGGGGGCTGTAGGGACCTGCAAGATTTATGGGGTAAATTTTGGGGGGGGGGGGAGGAAGTTTTAGATATTTCTGGTTCAGATCCTTGCTCTAAAAGTGGAAATAAACCTCTGTATGTCTTGCTTCACAGAAAGATAAATGCCCTTGTTCTTCACAGCCTACTCTAATAAATGTGGTAACAGGGAAGGGACCAGAAATGACTCTGGCAGTTTTCTCTCCAGGTTTTCCACATCTTGCCATTAAGTCACTAGCTTTATTAAATAAGCATGAGGATGAAACCTGTGCAGCTGTGACTGCTGCTGTAACCTCTGGCTTCTTGGAGAGTTGTGTGTAAGAGGGGTCAGACTGATGGACAGCATTAGGAAGGGCTGTTGCATGCCTGACTGTGTGTGGCTGTTAGTGTTCTTGAAAGCTCTTTACTCCGAAATGAATATCGCTGCTGCTACAGCGAAGCACAGACACACAGTATACCCGCCAGAGCCATTTTAGCCTTTTTGTTTTTGAGGTGATTCAGAAAGGAAGTGTTGTCTGTTTTTTGACATGTTTTCTTCATTAGCATTTGGGTGTTAATCGGATGCTTAAGTTCTGAGGACTGAACAGTTGTTTTATTGTGTCTTCTGCTAAGCAGATTACTTAAAGCTGTGACTTTTCTCCTATGTTGATGTCTACTGCTTTCCTATGGAAGGTAGGTAACCTTCACTTAAGCTAGGGGAAATGCTAGCTACTTCAAAAAATGTTTGAGCCTAGGGAAGGGAAATAAATGACTCTGTGCCTTGTTTTAAAGCACAGAATTAGTTATGTTTATCTAAAAAAAATTAAAATGCTAACACTGCAACTGTCTTTTCCATAGAATTGTGTTGAAATACCATTTTTCTTCTTGTTAGTATAACAGAATAAATACAGCAGCTGTGTATTTTAAAATTATGTTGTTAATAAAATCCTGGTACATTTACATAGATGACAACAGTAATGTACAAATAACAAAGCATGTAATATTACAGCAACAAAAGAGAACCTACGTTTTTGTACAGACAGCTGGAGCAGCTACTTGAAAATATTTTCCAGGATAAAGCCTTTTGTGCTCTTTTTCAGGCAGACCAGTGATAATCTTGAAACACCCCAAATGGCTTTCTGAAAATAAATAGGGTTATTGATGCTGGTGATCTTGAAAAGTGTTGTGTGTAGCTGAAACACAAATTGGAGCGTGCTCTGACCAACTTCTCTGTCCATCAGATTACTGATGGACAGTAACTGTCAGTTACTGACTAATTCTTCTCCTGGCATGCAATTTGCCTGTGATGTAAAATCCTTTAGGGATGAAGGGATGTCAGATTTTGACACATTTGTTGGGAGATGTTGTAGTTGCTCTCCTTCCCTTCTTCTACGCAAACCATGTCTGTGCCTTATATTGGAGCTTGGGCCCAGCTGAGACTCCTTCTTTTGGTGCACTTAGTCACAGTATTCATGTTTAAATTTCCAAGAAGCAGTAGTTCTACACTGGAAACTATACCTCCTCTTCTCCTTCACCCGCCCTTAACCAATAAAAAGCATCTTAGCAAACGTGCTTGGTATGTGCTAACAAAGACCAGTGGGAATTTTCAAAAGTCTTTTACGCTATTGGAGAGAGCAAGGTGTGTGTTGTTTGCAACTAACTGCCTTCCTAAGGTTGCCTCAGACAAGAAACTGTAAATTGAATTGTCTCCTTTTAGTCCTCTTAAGTCAGCTAGAAAAAGGCCTAGACTGAGTCCTTTTTGAATAGAAACATCTGTCCACTGTAAGCAAAGGAAAAATATGAATCTTAAAACATGATGGATGACTCGACCTGAATGCAAGTGCTGCAGCCCAAACGTTAGAGTGCAGCTTACCTCTAGGAAGGGGTTAGCTGTGCACGATGCGTAGTTCCCCCTGAGGTAGCATATCTGTGGAAACTATCATCCCACAGCTGGGGATGTGGAAGCAGAGGACTAGACCTGGAAATAGAGGTCAGTTTCTAATCCCGACTAGCTCTGGAGAGAGGGAGAGAGAGCGAGAGAGAGCAAACGATCAGGCTGTATGTATGTTCCCCATGGTCTTGGGGAGAATTTATTGCTATTTATGCTACTGGGACAGTTTCTTCAGGATAGCAATAGTTCTTACTACACCTGAGCGTTTTAGAAAATGTCTTTTGTGGTGTCAGGTCTCACAGATTACACTCACAAACAGGTTTTGAAGATGAAAATGATTTGGACTATCACACACCTTTACAGTGAAAGGGTAGACAGCCTTTTTTGCAACTGGATCCAAATTAACAACTAACACAGTGAAATTATATTAAAATCCAAATCAGGTGCAGAGTGAGTAATTTCAGAGTTAGCATTAGTTTCGACTCAGCCTTGTACATCTACAGAATCTCTCCCTCAAGGTGCAAACAGTTTTGGGGAAAACTAAGCCAGAGACTCTTGTCACAAGTAGACACTGGTGCCTATTACTATAGCAAAGTTGTGTGTGTACGCCAGCATCTGTGTTCAGACAGATGACTCTTTGACTAGGCAGTGGTCCATAGGATTAGAAAACCCCTTCTATGCGGCCTTTTTTTTTTTTTTTTTGTTAACAAGTAAAACATGTATGCATATGAAGTAGGTGGCTGTTACGGTGTGTAGACAGACACTTAAGTCTACATATTAGGTGTTAAGTCTAGGTAAATTGCCTCACTCCTCTATAGCCCTGCATTGTGCTCGTTTAAATGGCAGCGTTTAAATCTGGCAGTTGTTTTAAATCTTCTCTTCAGGTCAGGCTCTCCATTTGCATCCTCAATTCTTGTTTATGCTGTGACCGTGTTTCTCTGACGCAGCGTGGCACAGAGGAGCCAGCTCCCCCCCCTTCAGTGGGACGAGGTGCAGTACCCCTGCCTACGGGGCATCTGCGGTAGGGGACTTGCAGCAAGAACTGATGACTCCAGAAAGCAAACAGGAAAGCCACAGCTCTGCCTGATCATGCAGCCCAGTGCAGTTTGAACCAGCGCTTCTGTCACTGCCTTGTTCCCGCCTCACACCCGCGAGGTGACGTACACAGAATGCAGGCGGCCGGCCAGTGCTGTCTGCAAGTCACGCAGAGGGTCCAGGCCTTGCACTTTGCTGTTCCTGCTGTAGATCAGCTGTTTGAATGAGTCCTGCTCCAGAAGAGAGCTCATATGTTTGAGGAAGAAGCCCTCACAAAAAGAGGCTAGTTCAGGTGCGTTGTGAATCTGCAGAAAAGAACAAGATCTGTTAGCCTTTTGTGTATGTCTCAGACCTAAAGGATACGCTGGTGCCTTTTGTCTGTTCTCATCTGTCTCGGAAAACATTAAAGGGAAAAGCCTAAGGATGGAGCATGGTAACAGTGGAGAAGCACTAAAGGTAGGGCCTGGGATGCCTGATAACTTCTTTTGCTGCTTTTTGCACATGCACAGGTGTAAGCAGAGAGGCACTCGAGCTTTTTTAATTTCTTCTCCTGATGGCATGCTGTTAGCAGAGCCACTGGTCTGCACCCCTTCAAGGAAAAGAGCAGCTGGCTGATGAAGTGGCCAAGATACCTTTTTTGCTGTGCAAGTAGGGAGTTTGTGCTGTGATGTAAAACTGTAAGCGTTGCCAGATGGTGCACACAACTTGCGGTGATAGGAATATGGTTCCTAGGATGTGAACTTAATCCCTAGAAAAAGGAGCTGAATGTAGAAAAATAGGGAAGTTACGCTACTAAAACGCATCAGGTGGTTTTCTGGCTGTGATCTGGTTCCTTTTGCTTCAGAATCATTGAGAAGATTCAGAACAGGAGAACAATGAAATGTAAGTAAGTTCAATATTTAGAACTGCCATGCGCACCCCTCCCCTTTCTCCCCACCAAGGTTCCTGAAGCTTTGTGCAAACAGTAATGTAATGAAAAGTACTAAAGGCCGGTAGAGAACACTCCTTTCCCCCTTCTCTTCCACTGCATCCTTTTAACTTTTAGGTGCCAGAACAGACCACCCTGAGTCCCATGGGAAAAATGGCTTAGTGTGCAAGTCGGGAATTGAAACGGACCAATCTGCCACTACACATAAAGTAAACGTGTACCCCATTGTCACCCCCTTATGTAGTCTTACTGCTCATCGTTAGGGGATCTGACTTGGTATCTTTCCCCCAGAAATGGTAGACTATTTCCTCTGTGATTTTACTGATAACATGGGTTAGGCCGTTTGCTATACGGGTGAATATTTATGCCGCACAGAGTTTATGCCAGTTCTGGAGCTTTAAGAAGTATACTTTCCCAGTGGGAGTGCTGGGAAAGGGTTTGTTACTTAGTTAGCATGCTATGATCAACTGGCCCTACTGCTTTGAACCTCTATACACTGCTTTGTTGGATGATGTTGCTGTATCAGCTTGCTAATACACCTCTGCTGTGCTCTTTAGGAGTCTCTCCTGAACTTCATAAATGATTGCTTTAGAAGAGGAAGCATACTAGGACTGTTTAGGACTTTACAGACTGGAACTTAATGCATTTGTGGTTGTGTTTAGGATAGAGTTACTAGCACAGCCTGTGTACGCTGGTACCAACTGTATGCCTGCTGTATCTAGTTACCAAACCTAGACGGCAGAAAGCATGCATGCTGCTTCATTGTGATTCTTTAATAAGACAGTTTGGCATATACCTTTGCATATTTATAGATGTTAACAGAGTTCTCCATGCTGATTGTCTCGGCACAGAGGATTTCACAGTGTCTCTGGAGGCCATCCAGTTGGAACAGGCTGGCAGCCGACAGCAGCTATTAGGACAAGAGAGAAGCCATTTGAGATCATGAACCTGAAAATGCTTAGGGAAGGCGGCAAATGGAACTAATGCTTTCTTCCCTGAAGGATCTCTGACTCCCTTTTTAATGTCTAAGTCCTCAAGAAAGAACAGAAAGGCTACTGGATGCCTAGATAAAGCAACAGAGAGAATTTCCCCCTTTGCTAGGAAAGGCTTGCTTCTCCTGCAGGAAATGCATTTGTGCTACCTTTTGCTACCATGATTTGCAAGCCCCAGACTGTTCAAAGCCCTCTTTCCTCCCCTCAGGAAAAAAAAAGAGAAAGTAATTTCTTGTAATCTTTAGCTGCAGTTTTAATCACACCACACTGTGACTAAATGGCCTTACTGTAAGTGGACCTGTTCTCAGAGGACCTCCCTGAGACCCTCTGCCCCTTGGTGGATGGCCTGCTCCAGGTGCCAGAGCTGCAGGATCAGCTGCACCTTTTCTGTGCCTCACCAAAGGGACAGGGCTGCCTGCCTCCTCCCCCCTAGGAGAGAAAGGACTCACAAAGGAGGCTGCCACCCATTTTTGTGATGCGCACAGCCACCTCATGGGTGAAGGAATTACTTTAAAAAGTTAATACTTTTTAGGTTTAACACTTGCTTGTTGGGGAATAAGTACAAGGCTGCAGTAAAGTTATCCCCTTTCTCTTTAAGTCAAAGCAGTGTCTTTAAATTTATCTGCTTGTAAGAAAGAACAGTTTTAGCACCTAACAGCATAGTCACTTCATAGAGCATCTCTTTAAAAAGAACTGATTTATAGAGGTAAAGGTCAATGGATAGTTTAAGGCAACTTTGGGTACCAGTAGCGCTGTAGCGATGTATTTTTATCCAGCATCTCCTTGACGTACTGTAAAAGAACTGGTAGCTGTTCTTATTTCCAGGCAATTGCGTTTCAAAACTGTGAACTCATTTCAAAGCTTTAAGCATATTAGATTGAAAGCTTGTTGGTAGTTCCTGGATTTTTGCCTTTCAAGCTCTGTTTATACCCCAGTGCAGTTGGCAAGACTTAGAAGAAGAATACCCCAGTGCAGTTGTCAAGACTTAGAAGAAGAGCGTCTCACCTCTAAGATATCAGTGGTGGGAATTTCCATAGATTCTGTTCCTCCATAATATAAATACTGCATCAGCATCTGCAATGGGAAGAAGGCCAGGCCAGGCATGAAGCTGTTATCACTGAAGTCACATGGGGCTGTGAATGGCTGTCCTCCCTTTCCTGGGCAGACAGGAATCACATGGTGTGCTGGCTCTCACTGCCATTTTTGGCATTTTTCTAGTGTTGCAAATGTGCTACTTTCTAATACTCTTTTCTTCTTCAGGTTTTGCAAAGGGGCCTGTTGAGGATTTTAGGCTGGGGGGGGCGACAGCGTGTCTCTGAGCAACGGGAACGTCCTTGGAAAAATATTCCTTGGACGCTGATTTGTAAAGCCTGGCAGGCTGGTCACACGCAGAGCTGCCAGCTAGCTGGAGCGCTGAAGCTGCCATGCCATGTGCACGTGTGTCGCAGG